CTTCCACGTCATGGAAAGCTTGCCAAAGTAGTGCAGTGTGTGCCCAAGAAACCAGGGTTGGCAAAAATGGTTTTCAGCATGCGTCCAAACTTGTCCAACAGGAAGGTCTCCATCTTTTCCACGGTGAACTTTTGCCTGGTCTTTTGTCCTCGCACGGTGTGACACGGACACCCCACGGAGGTGTCGCCATCCTTGCACCACGGGAGCTCTCTGTGGAACTACAACCAGGCGAGGATGCAACCGGTTTGTATGCTAAGCTTCGCAAGACCAAACGTGTTCAGGCATGTTGGATCCAGGTCATGAAACACCTTCGTGTTCTTGTTTTCTCAGTGTACTGTAAAACTGCTGCATCTGCGGACAAGCATGTCCTTGACTTTAATGATGCCCTCCTGTCGGATGTGTTTGCCATTGCAAGCCAATGGGGTGATGTCCCTATCATTGTTGCTGGGGATTTTCAGCTTCCCCCCATTCAGTACCCGATTGTTGCTCATGCCACCTCGTTCATGCACTGGAACGATTCCCTTCAGTTCTCGTCTTCAGAAGACTCAGCTCGTCCACTCACCTTTTCCATGGATGGAAACTTCACGGGGTACGGTGATGGATGCAGCTCGATTGACGGTATTTTGACCAATTCGGTTGCCACTGCCGCTCTTTCTTCGGTCGAGGTTCTTCCAATGTTTCGTGTTCAACACAGACCTGTGAAAGCCACTTTCAACTGGGGAACAATTTGGCAATGCGGTTTCAAATTGTTCAAACCTGCTCCTTTTGTCTTCCCGCCAGGGTTTGCACCTCAAGAATCCACTCCAGAGCTTGACTTTCCATGCCATGAGGACATTGATAGTAAATGGCATTTTGCCAACCGTGTTTGTATCAACACTCTGTTGGATCAAGGTGCTTCGTGGGGCCCTGGCTTTCGAGAACGGGGCACTGCAGTTCGAACCAGACCCAAGCAAATTTGCCCAGGTCAGGCACACAATGGTGCTGCCACCACGCAACGGGCCTCGTGGCTTTCCAATGCTTTGCGTGGTCTCTTGGAGATGCAAGCATTCCACACCCAGGACATTCAATCTAGCACTCGGCGCTTCATTTGTCAGCGCACCATTGTCAAGACGTGGTCCCGCTTGTTTTGGCTTCGTGCGCCTTGCCTCTGGCCCTATGAACGTAGTCCGACCCTAATTGAGATCACTCAAGCCATCCAATGGATTCTCGATACCCAAGCAGTGTTAGAACTCAAGTGCAAGTTAAAGCGTATCCAAGCTTGGAAGGACAAAATTCAAGACTCAGCTAAAGTTGGCTCCGCTTATCTCTTTCGTCATCTTCGTAATAAAACGTCCGATGAGCCTGCGAACTTGATCATGGACCAGGAGAAGAACATTGTTTTTGCCCCCAATGAGGCCATTCGTGAGATCAATCAACAGTGGGATTCGGTGTATAGTGCCAACGCAGGCTTCCCACACCCACTTAAGATGTTGGAAATTGTGTGGCCCCAGATTCACCACTTCTCACACTCATGCTCTGTCCCTGACGTCACAGCAGTTGCACTGCGAGACATTATCAAGCGACGGCGCCCTGACGCCGCTCCGGGTTTGGATGGATGGAGAACAATTGAAATGCAATCGCTCCCTGTAAAATGCTTCGAGCCCTTTGCCATGCTGTTTAAGGAACTTGAAGAAGGCACTTGTCCAATGCCGCAGTCCCTGGCAACTGCAAAACAAGTTATCCTTAATAAAAATGGAAGCTCCGAGCCGCTGCAGAAACGTCTTATCACTTTGCTTCCGGTCATCCTTTTAGCTTATACTGGAGCTCGGTTTAAGCATTTGCGTGATTGGCAACTCAATGTTATGCCACCTCAACTGCAAGGTGGCATCCCTACACGCCAGATGTCCGCCATACACACCCATTTAGCTCTCACACTTGATAGTGCCAAGAATGCAAATGACCCGCTCATTGGCATTAAAATCGACAAGGCTAAGTGCTTCGACCGTATTCTGCCGCAGTATGCGGGGGCATTAATGCTTGCCTTTGGGGTTCCACAAGGCATTGTGTCAGTGTTTTTGAAACTGTACTCCCAACTCGAGAGGCATCTCCAGTTCAAGTCGTGGTTTGCTCCTACTGCCACCCATGGCACCAATGGTGTTGCTCAGGGATGCTCACTTTCACTGATTGCAGTTAATGTGCATATGAAGGCATGGATTCACATGCTTGATGCGTTGCCACATGTCACCGCCAAAGCTTTTGTTGATGACGCATATTTGTGGGCACGGTTGATTCACAGCCAAGAGTTGTTCCAAGCAATGCGCATCACACAGTGCTGGGACGAACTGGTTGGTCAAACCATGAATTCCTCCAAGTGTACTGTGTGGGGGACCACTGGCCCCGCCCGTAAGTGTATCAAATCCCTGTTCCCTCAAATGAAATTGGCTCTCGAGTTGGAAGTCTTAGGTGTGCATGTTCGCACCAGCGACCGTGTGGCCCTGCACTTCACCGAAACCAAATGCGCCAAGATCGTTGCTGACATTAAGAACATTGGGGCTCTTCCCATTTCGGCCCCCCAAAAGGCCAAAATTATTGGCTGTAAAGTCATGCCGCAATGCACCTACAACGCTGCCATTAATGGGATTCCCTCCAAGATGCTTGCCAAGATCCAAGGTGAGATTGTGAACGTTCTTTGGAACAAAAGGCCCCATTGGCGCTCGCGCTTCTTGGTCTTTGCTTTCATGTCTCAGCCACACAGAGTTGAGCCACTGTGTGCTCGTCACTACAATGTCATTCTGGACTGTTATAGGTTTTTACACCTTTTCCCAGCCGAAGTACCTCGCTTTCGGTATTTGCTTTCGCAAGCAAGTCCGTCTCGGTTTTCCGTGGCTCAAAACCTTCGACAGGCCTTTAGGTTTTTCAGTTTAGAGCTTGACACAGAAGGGATGATCCATTTCCGACACCAAAAGGTTGTTGACTTTTTGGCTCTGTCTGTTCGTGAAATTAAGCCCGTGTTGAAACAGCTTGCCAAACAAGCCTGTTATGCACAGGCCTCGCTGCAATCCAGGAAAGATTTTCTTGCACCGGGTGGTATCATTGATTATCATTTGTCAACGCTTTTTGCTCAAAAGCCTACATTCATGACAGAGGGTTTGACGCCTGCCGTTGCGTACTTTCAAGCCCAACAGGTTGGATGTGTTTTGACTAATGATCGCCTTGCAGCTGCCAAGCTTATTGATACCCCAGAGTGTCGCCTTTGTCATGCACACAAGGAGTCGCTTCCTCATTTAGTTCGCGATTGTCCCGTTGTTCAACATGACTTTCCGCCACCTGCTGCCCATGAGCTTGGACGCAACTTCGAGCTACTCGGCATTGTAGAACACCCATGGTCTATTTTGGCCCATCGCTTGCAAGTGAGCCAGGTGAGCTCTGTTCCGTGTCCCACATGGTTGTCAGACCAACCCACCAAAGTACTCTGGACGGATGGGTCCGTGTTGTGGTCCAAGCATTTTGCTCTCACTTGTGCAGGCTTTGCGGTCGTGGACTGCAATCAGATTGTTACTGCCTCCGGGCCTGTATGTCACTGGACCATCAGCAGCTACACTGCCGAACTGTGGGCTTTGCTTTATGCTTTTCTTTCAGCCACCGGACCTGTTGAAATTAGAAGCGATTGCAAAACTTTAGTTGAGCAAATTTCGTGCATGTGTGTCAATCATGCCATCCAGCCCGAGTGGTCTCATCCAGCTTGGTGGCAAGCATTGTTTCATGTCTGGGAGCAGCGTATTTTGGTTGCCCCTTGTCCACTCCAAGCAGTGTGGATTCCAGCCCATCAATTGGAACAGATACCAGTGCACCTTATTGACGAGGACATGGCAAGGGCTCATGGATCCACAGTTCAGGATATCACGTTGAATCGTGAAGCTGATCATGCAGCAAAGCGAGCTGCAGGCTCGCATGCACCTATTTTTGAGTCCATATATCCATGCATCACCCAGGCCGTGTTGCTTCGCCAAGAGTGGCTCACACGCTTGTGCTTGATGTTGGGCCAAGATGTTCACAAAGAAGTGCAAGAGACTGAAGATGAGAGACTTGAGGAAACGCTTACACCTGCTGAACAGTTCCCACAACTTCAGTGGCAGGCCAATCCTTTAGATTTTTCATGGCAAGTCCAACATGTGTGGCCTAGACCGTTGGCCCAATGGACTGGATCCGAAAGTGAGTGGCACTGTTTCGGCTCCTTTGTTTCGCTGCTTAAATGGTCTTGTGCTGCGGAGCTGAAGGTCTCTTATACTGAGCTTGCTGTGCTTTTTGTTTTCCTTAAGGTTCCGTGTCCCTTGTTTGACGACGAGCATCTCACTTTCCAAGCACTTGCCAAGTGGATTAAGAACTCGTTTGCCTTGTGCAGACGTAAACTTCCCTTTGACTGCACACCTGGGAAGCATGAGCCACACATTGCTCACACTTGGGGCAAAAGTATGCCACCCGGCACCATATGCGGCTGTCGTCCTTTCTTTTCCGACGCTGCTCTCCACCTGTTAGTGAGGGTCGCTCGAAAGGTCACGGGCGCAGCTATGTCTGCGTGGAACTTTCCTATTGCTGAGTTCCGTTGATCGCCTTTTGTTGCATGTACATAAGACATTTTCGCATACTGTCCAGTGGAAAGCTGGCGGTACTGGTCACCTCAAAGGGGTTCTGACGTGACCGCGGGAGGTAGAAAAGGTTTTACTGGTTTTGAAATCCAAATTACATCAAATTACTGATCAATATTCTACATTAGTATGAGATGATGGAGATGGCACCTTGTACCCCCAGGACATGCTCGATCAAATCCACCTCTTCCTCAATGAACATGCAAACATCCCCAAGTTCCAGGGCTGGGGAGGTAGGTGCCGGTGGTGCTTCCCCAAACTCCCGACTCAGATGTGGATGATGTCTTCCTTCAACACGCGCCATTCCTTTTTGCGCCGTGGAAACCGTGTTTGGTTCCCTCGTCCCGGGCCAGCACTTCACCCTGAACAGCGCAGGTGTCCTGAAAGCGGTGGCCAACATCAACAGCGTAATCGCGCCAAAGCTGATGGGAATGAAGGTCACCGAGCAACTCAGATCAAGGGACCTGTTTGATTCATGCGGAGATGCAAATTACATTCCTACTGTAACTATACTGATATCGAGATTTTGACGTTGATTTAGACACTATGTCGACATGCTTTGTTGTGCCACGCATCTCGCGCTTCCCGTTTGTTTGGGTCAGGTCGGCCAGGTCCTGCAGGTCTGCTTGACACAGGTCACTTCATGTTTTCAGGCAAGCGACCTTGGACAAGCTCATGGTCGAAGAGATGGATGGCAGCAAAAACGCCCCTGAACGGCGCCGAAAGGGGGGGTCGAAGAGATGGAGGCGGTACGTTTCTGGGTTCAACGGTCGAGTAACGAGTCGGTGGTGGTGGTTTCAGCGAGTGGTGGTGAAACAGTGATATGTTGATCACGTTGATCTGAAAAACACCACCTTTTGTAATATGTTTCAAGCGAGTTGAAAGCACCAACCTATAATGTGTTGTGCTAATGTTCTTGGACGGTCTGAAACCTTCCAGAAGGGGAACGGAAGACATCAGAGGTGTGGTGGACTGGTGGGATGGGACTGACCTGTCAGGAGAGGTGTTTTAGCGGATATGGAGAGGATGCTCAGGTGATCTGTAGTGGATTTGGGATGTGCCCAGTGTATAGGACATGCCCGTAGAATTTTTACATATTTTTACTATATGGTCTTCCCTCCAGTGAAGACCCAAATGATTGAACAGAAATGAAAGGTCTGACCAATGTGCAAAGTCAGAGTTGACATAGCCAGTGAAAGCCAGTGAAGGCTGAGCTTTGCCTGTTTGCGCTATATACTCATGACCTCAATGTATACATTTCTGGTTCAATTGGGCTATGGATCCATTTGGCATCAATTCACTATGGATGAAACCTATACAACCATCTAGAGCCCCGAAACCTGTTTCACACTACATCCCCCGTACACGTCGGCCATTCTTTTACTCACATTTTGAGGGGCACCGCGCTGTTTTTGACCCTTCTCTTTCATGATTCTTGCTCCCATGGTGGTGTACGGATGTCGACTACACTCAGGAATGGGGATGGTCTAAGTCCAAGCTTGGTGCCAATGCGATCCTAGCAGTGCCTCGGCAGCTTTGCGGTCGAGTGGATCCTGCGGTGTAGAGCAGGTGCTCGACGCTTGCGGTCGCCCAACCCACCATGGTGGACAACCGTCCAACGTCCGGCCCCATCCCCGAAAGAGCGATCCGCGGATCTACCTTCGAGAAGGAGGTACGATCATCTGGGCCATCTTGGGCCCTGGCGCCTACACAAATAGTTTCGAATTGCCTTCTGAGAAGGTAGGTGGCAGTGGATCCCTAACCCAGACGCTCCATGTATGCCATGCATATATGCCGATCAGTTGGGGTGGTTTCAGGGGCCAATGTAGGCATATATATATATAGCAGTCCCATTAGTCGCGTCTGGGTAATTATGATGTCTTGGCACTGCCCCCGGGTCAGCCTCGCATCGCCGACGTCCGCCGTTCCGACTGGGCCGTCCGACTCGTCCATCGCGGTGGGACGCCAGGTGTCGATGGCCATTTGCCGTGCGGGGGCCGCGGTGGAAGAAGTACCCCTCTACCAGCAGCTGGGCGGCTCCGAACGCCACTGGTGGAACAAGGGGGTGCGGAACCGGACCGAAACTGGTTAGGACATGTTCGGAGGGTTTTTTGGTAAGTCCGACTCCAGCTGAAAGACCAAGACAAACGAAATTGCTTTGGTTTAGAGATATTATTCTTAGTACATCTTGTACTGCAATTCAGGACAAGAATTTGATCTCTAAACCGAAGCAATTCCCGAAGCTGCGATCTTCCAAAAGATTTTCAACGCCTTGGAACAAGTTGCCAAGGTGAAGGATATACGGTTGTGTGTGTCCGGTGTATGTCTCAACCATAGTTGGGGAATATATGTTGTTCACGGGCGACGTTGGGGACAATTTGGTCAAAAGACCCAGTGAAAGGGAGCTTGTTTGAGAAGCAGTAGATGACAAATCCCAAACGAGACCAATCAAAGCCCCCTTTTCAGCAGCTGCAATGAGCCCTTTTTGATCCTTTTTGCTCATTTCAACGTTTAAGCACCATTTCGGGAACAAGTTGTTCCTCATGTCCAAGCGACAAGAACACGACCATGTCACGCCCATGTCAAGTCAGAGGTCGAACAAGGTCGAGAGGCCAGCGATCGTGGACGGCCGACGTGACGTCCGACGTGCCGCTGACTGTGGCCTTCCATGTCACCCCTTGAAGTCTGGAGGCGACTGGCGGCCGGGGATGGCACATGGGTCGTGATTGGAGACACCCGTGAGTTGCAGTGGAGCCTTCTCTAGACCTACCAAACCAGATCACAAAAGTAGATGCCCCAGAGCCAGGCCTGGTCGCACATTCTCACTCATCCTCCACCCGATCCACGCCTCGACCCCATGCTATGAAACACCAAGTGGTAGGGCAAAAAGAAGACTGCAGGGCTTTGGCCTCGAATACTAATTACATCTATAGTTACATGATCTCTTTACTGCATGATCTTGAAAGTTCTGTGGTGAACGTGGCCCAAAAGAACTGCTTGTTGATTATCCTTCGAACATGTTGGGAACTTCCAGCACTGATGATGTTCCTGCCCGCAGTTCCAACAATCTCTCCACCACCTGGGGTGCCATGTGTATCCTTGGCCCATGCCGCTATTGCAACCACCTCCGAGGGACCTTGGAGTCGGTTTTGGAGTCGGTACGCGGCTCGGTCTAGCGGCTGAGGTACATTGCGAAGTTGGCGGGCAAGCCCACGGAGGAGTTTGTGATGCCCGTCACGTGGAACCAGGAGGTATTTCGGGAATCCGTCGCCGCATGTGTTTTTGTTGCAGACTCGCCTGCAGGACAAAACTATAGCTGTGATTGTTTTCGTTGCAGCGCTTTCCAACCAATGCGATACCAGTTAGAAGTTCGAGTCGCCATGGCACATGTTCTCACTTTCCGCATTCCTTTGAATTCCTCTTGGAAAGGTGCAGTCTTTTTCCGACCGAATCCGACAGTCCTTACTTTGAATTACATGGGCCAAAACGGCTTCAAACCGATTCCAAGACCCAGCCCGGTTGAAAGACCCGTTGACCGTTTCGACGTTTCCTAGTTCGACACTCCACGAACCGGTCTGAAGACCGCTGGTGAGCCATCCCAGACGACGGGTAGTTGGTTCACCAGGAGCGTAGGTTGACCCTGGTCGGTTGATCCGGTCTGGTATAGTCAATTCAAGCCAATGCTGTGCATGTTTCGCATGGGAAAACAAAACGGGTTTGGGCGGAAGACTTTGCAGAGCCATCCTGAGCTCAGGTGCCCTCCTTTAATGTGATCAATGGTGGAAGCCATGCGGGGAATCGCTTGGCCTGTCAAGAGTTCATGATCCTCCCTACAGGCGCCGGCCGATGCACGGGCTAGGGCTGGACAGTTTTGGGGAGACATGGGGAGACTCTGTGGGCACAGGATCCGCATTCAGGCCACAATGAGGTGACTGCAGATGGCAGTGTCCGAAAAAGGCACAGAACATCCAAGATTGGTCGTTCCAGAATGCGTAGAATGGAGGTACAGTGTCAGTTCCTACCCTCCTTCGCACAGGAACGGTTGGAAGCTGGGCAATAGCTGCGAGAGCTGCAAAAATTTACTGTATTTCATGTACTATGTGCAGTTATACACCTTAAAACTTCCTAAAATTTAAACATATTGAAACCCAATGGTACAACCTGTTTGAAGTGCCTGCAAGACACTCCCTCCCACCGGGAGAAAGGACCACACCCCGGTTCAATGATGAACTCTCAACACATCCATGGCACTGTTCGTAGCGAAGCATCAACCAAGTCACTTCTCCTCCCACATCAACGGACGCTGTGAACCGAAAGCACAGATCTGCAAAGATGTGACACCTCACATGCGGTACTCCCTCGGTCCGCCTGCTCCGCCTGCGCGGTACTCCGTCTGTACAAAGGTGCGACCTCCTTTCGGAACGCCATGGAGATTGGTGCGGAGGTTTATCACAACCTGAAGAGTGTGATCAAAAAGAAGTATGGCCAGGAGAGGGCTTCGCACGGCTAAACGCACAAAAGAACGGCCGGGCTTAGAAGTTCTCCAGATCGATGGATCTGGTCTCCTGGTCTCCAAAAGATCTGGGGTATACATGGCCTCCAAAACGATTGCCAGGATTCTTGTGACAACGTATCAATAGCCAGGGGCCCTATAGTCTTTCTATGTCTTTCTGCCGGTGCAGGATGCCTGCAACGTGGGAGATGAGGGAGCTTGGGGCCCAGCGTAAGTCGGACATATGCGCGCGCTTCCAGGTCTGGAACAGGCCAAAGAGAGAGGTTCAGAGCAACAGACATCAAGCCAGCCAAGAGGAATGCACCTTCCGACTGATTTTCTTTCGGGATCGAACAAGAGTCGTTGCTGAAACAATTCCTTCTGTGAGATGGTGATCAACATCTATAGACTGTGGAAGGAAAACCCCCTTCCATCATTTGTTTCAGGGGTTTGCCTTTAGGAGTGCATAGAATATGAGTTATATTGAGTTACACTATATACATGTATGCTTTAAATGTCCAGATCGCCTCCCTATATAAGTATGCTCAACGCAGAAGCTTGCTTTGTACAGGTCACCCATGCTGGAAACGGCTTCAGTTGCCGTTCAAAGAACATTGCCACCGTTTGTCATTCTTGTACCCTAATGGATGGGAGGCAAAACAGTTTTTGGATGACCTTTTCCAGCTTCATGCAAAACACACAAAAACATGCCTGAGTCTTGCAGATCCGCCCCAGGATTCTTCTGAAGGAACGATCGATCGTGATAACCCGGGATCTTGATACCCAAACATGGGATGTGGGTGTGTCGTTTTAATAGATAACCGGCACCCAATGAAGGTATGTGGTCATAGGGTAATACACCCCGGGTGTCTTTCTCTTCACGTGGCGTTGCACGTGTCTTCGCCGCTTTAGGCGTGACCAAGCGTCCGGCCGCCCGCGTTTGGTGCGTGGCACTGAGGGCTTTGCCCCGAACGTGCAAGACAACAACGAAGCCCTCGATGTGCTGATGGAGGCTGTTTCGACCTGAAACTGGAGACTCATTTTTTCGATCTTTCTCGATACCCAGACTTCTTCGTTTCCAAGGTGGGGTGGGACTGGGGGCCCGGGTGCCAGGAGGGTCGAGTCATATATTCTACCTGAGGTACAACTGGAGGCCCAGTTCTCCATCACCAAAAGACCAGAAGAAATCACTGCTCGAGGTCTTGGGGCTCACTGGGTGGCACTTCTGCGGCACCGCAGTTGTGCGCGTTCGAAGGGTGCTTTGATCAGGACCATCCGACCATTTGGGTGTCCTGGCTGGACAAGCCTGCACTACTTGGAGATGTCCAGACAGGACACCCAGACGGTCCTGGTATGTGTTTATTCCATCGGTTTGGGGCGTTGTTTCTTGCAAAAAGGCCAGGCTGTGGGCTGGTTCTTCATGGCTCGGACGACCTGTCAAAGGTTTCTGGGCGACTCAGATCCGGAAGCCTTTGACCAATTCGCTTTTTTGAGCTGAGAGATGCTGAGAGATGCTGAGACCATGTCCGTCGACCGGTCCCATCTCCAGGCCATTAAGAAGTCGGGCCACGAGGGCAAGGTGCAGATCGGCACCGACGTGGCGGCCTCCGAATTCTGGAAGCCCGGGCGGCCCAGAGCGGCGATCGGTCGGCTCGATGCTCGCGGCCTGCTCGATCGAGGATACACCGGTCTCAGAGTTCCGGCCCTGCGTGGTTTTTGGTATGTTTTTGATGTTTTTGTGGTTTCCGCAAGGTTTTGGAGGAGGTCTGAAGGGGGGACGTTATAAACACGTTCGGGCGGGTGTTGGATCGGCGGTGTTGGTTGGAAGGCCAAGGGGTCTCTCCACCAAACTTCAGTCTCGATCTTCTTTGGTACAGTCGGTACAGTAACATAAAGCATTCACAAGATCACTTATAGCATCTTATAGCTAACCTGCAGGTCAATTGATTTTGCGAGTTGTGTATACTTGCAAAAAGTGAGGATAGAAGCATATTCATCGGGTTTTGACAGTTTTTGGATTACATTTTTGGGGGTGCACTAGACCGAATCCTTTGTGGCAGGGTGCGTAGGCTCCTGTTGCCCCCAAAATAGTGGCTTTGTGGCACATGCCGCTTGCAGCACACGACAGGCCAGAGCTCAAGAAGTACGACTTGGATTTTAAGAATGTCCCTTGGCTGTTGCTGCAGCCGCCTTGCTGCTGAGGGTGTCGTGAGAATCCCAGTCGTATCCGGTGCACGTTTAGACCGATAGACCGATAGACCTTGGTCATGTGGGACTGAAGTACAGAAGAGGACGCTGGCGACACTGGCACAGGCTTAAGCCTAGAGTTGCCACCAAAATCTCCAATCGTATAGTTCCTAAATACCAGGTTCAGACATGTTCAGAACATGGTGAGCATTTCTTCAATTCCCATCGTACCACTTCAAGGTTCTGGTGCTCACCTCTTGCGGGAGTAGCCTTACAGGCTACAAGACTTGTTGGTTCTTGTCCGTGTTCCCACACAGGCAAGTCATGAAAACCATGAAGGGCCACCAGGCAGGCACAAGGGTAATTACGCAGGTGCATCTCCAGTTCCATTTGTTTGTCCAGTTCAAGTCATCATAACGTCATCTTAGGTTCAAGTGGTTAATTAGGCAATTTGGAACCTCAAGAATCACCAACCATCGAGGAGTAGACCCTCCAAGTTCATGGAGAATCCCGGCTGATGGTTTCAGCCGGATTTAACAGTTGCAGTTCATCTGAAAGACCGCTACCCCAGGCAGCTGCTTTTCGCTTTGCAAAAAGATAGTCATTGTGTGCCATCAGGAGAGTGGAAGCAGCGCTGGGATGCAGAAGACTGCTGAGGAGGGAGCTGTTTTCTCATTTTGGGCCTCTGATTCAGTCTTCAGGATGTATCTGAATGATGCAAGTTTTTCTTGGATTGAGACATCCTCCCTCCAGAGTAGATACTCCAGATGTGAAGAAAGCTGTAGATCAGCAGTGGAGCATGATCTAAACCTTCAGGGCATTGGCAATGAAGCTGAATCTGTTTCTTTGCACGCCCAAGTGCAGCCTTTCACGTCATGTCATCATTAGGGCAACAGTTGAAGATTACCACATTCGATACCATTCCATCCAACTGGAATGGGACTTAGGCTGACTCAGGGTCCAAGATACCATCCTGTCCGGGTGTCCTGGCCGGACTACCCTACACACTAGTTGGAGATGTCCATTGGACGCCCATTGGATGGTCCTGTTTTATATACTGTTTTGTCCCCAACATGTTTGTGGATCCAAATTATCCAATTCTGAGATGTTAATGAAGCAAACCTGAAGCTCGAAGCCTCGAAGCTCTACTTCTGTAGCCGAAGATTGGTTAAAACAAAAACACACACACACACACTAGACACACTCACTGTGAATGAAGACACATCTATGAAACCAGATGTGACCTATTTTTATTTTCCATATTGTTGTTCAACTCCAATTGCTCAGTAGCTGTAGAAAAGAACCGAAGGGAGATCATCCCGCTCGCTGGCGCTTTCCCACACGTGAAAAGGAGATGATAGACTACTACAAGGCCAGGACGGAGTTCGCTCAGCAATTTTTGATCACTATACCTGATAGCGATGGCCTCCAACCTAATAGCAATGGCCTCCGACCTAATAGCGATGGCCTCCAACCTAATAGCAATGGCCTCCGACCTACTAGCGATGGCCTCCAACCTAATGTCACGACTGAATTAATAAACCCCCCCCATGTGGTAGGTCAACAAGGTCAAGAAGACATGAGATATTACTCATGAGGTCCACCTCCCTCAATAATTTGCTAGTCGGCTAAGAAACGAGTAGCTGTAGCGGTAGCGGTAGTCATAGTAGTAGTAGTAGTAGTAGTAGTAGTAGTAGTAGTAGTAGTCGTAGTCGTAGTCGTAGTCGTAGTCGTAGTGGTAGTGGTAGTGGTAGTGGTAGTGGTAGTAGTGGTGGTAGTAATGGTAGTAGTAGTGGTAGTGGTAGTGGTAGTAGCAATAGCATGCAATAGCTGGTTGTGGGATCGGGTTAACTGAGGGGGGGGTTCTGGCGCCCAATTCTTAATTTGTGCAATTTCCGGGGGGCTTTGTGGGCTCGGATTAACTAGAGGTATGAAAACACGGATGTGGAAACTCGTGTTGTATCGCGACCGCACGAAGTGTCGAGATGGAAAGTGAAAACACAGTGAGGCGTGTCTTTTGCCTATGGCGTAGCATGAACGAGGTCTCAAGGGGCCCCTGCATGGGTGCAGGGTAGCCAAACAGCAACCGGAACGGTCAAAAGCTGTTCCAACCTGATTGCATGGAGTGAAATCCACACCGGTGGTGGTTCATCTCTTCAGTAGCTTCGCCAGAAATCGAGGTGTTTCTGGCTGCAGAAGGCACAACAATTCCATTGCTTCAGCTGTGTTGCGTCCGCTGAAGCCAAAGCTTGACAATCTGCATAGGTGTGGTAGGACTTTCCGGTGCGTGTGGTGATGACCGCATCTGGAACCCAACTTCTGGAGAGCTGGTCACGTACCGCAGCTAAGCGGTTGTGCGCATCGATCCAGTTGTCGCGGGCCTTCTTGTACTCGGTGTCGATCTCGCGCATCTCAATCCTCATGTACTCTCGGATGTCGATGAGCTGCTCAATCTCTTCTTCTTGTGCTCTGCATTGAGCTTGTAGGTCAAATAGTTCAGCTTCCTGGTCTCTCACGATGTCTTGCAGCCGCAGGTTCTCGGTGCGGAGGACACCAAAGGAGGTCTCAGGCTCCTTCTCGGTCTGTGTCTCGGCCGCTGTAGAGCTCGTTGAAGTCATAGTCCAGGTCGTTCTCGTAACCGTGGAGCTCCATGATGAAGTTCCCTTGTTGCCACAAAGGAAGCGCCATACCAGCATGCCAATCACAATGACATACAGGGTCATTGTCATCTCGGGCGACAGCATATTTGCTATGACCTCATCCACCGTCATGGCCTTGACTCCAATCATCTGCGAGGTGAGGACTGCAAAGGCCAAGTGGTTGGGGTTGCCAGTCCGAGTGATGGCATGGCGTCTTGCGCTTGCCTGTCGCTCTGCCAGGGTCTTCTTCTTGGATGCCTGAAAAGAGACATCAGCTTGTAGTGAAAGGTGATGAGAACGAAGACGATCGGCAAAGAGCTGTCTGGCGGCATACTTGGTGACTCCATCGGCCATTTGAGCCTCAGATGAGACCCATTTCAGCCGGGACTTCATTGCCAGCATCTTCTGCTTGGTCACCATGACTTCAATCTTTGTTCTTTTGTCGCCTTGTAGGCTAGGAGTTTCAGCCTTGAGCGAGTCGTAGAGCGCCTTGGCGTCGACCACCAGTGACGAGGGCATAGTCGGTGAAAACTCGTCCACCTGTCGAAGTTGGAAGTCGTGTCGGGTGCAGCCCTCCCAGAAGATCAACAGGTACTCCAGGGCGTCCATGGCGGCCGAGCAGGCCTGGCTCTCAGCATTGAGTGATGAGCGACTCACTCTTGGCAGTTTGAAACTTCTCCAGTCCAGGACAATGTAGTCCTGTGTAGAGCCATCTTCTAGGATCTGCTGGTTGCAGAGGAAGATCACATAGCCACCTTGGGATTCGCTGTTGCGACGAACTCCCCAGGCTGCATCGCTCATAGCCACCATGCACAGCTTCTCCATGTCCCCTCCAAGATCTCGAAAGATCAGGGCAGCATCGCTGTTGCTCTTGGCAAAGCGGAGGAGCTTGTTGGCTTGAGCTGCAGTGTCACCTGTGGCGGCTGTGACTTCGCCGCACAACAAAGATACCGAGGCACTCAAATGAGGTGAGGTCTGAGTGGCAGGCCATTGAAGTGCTCCGAGAAGGGCTCTGAGGCAACTTTGTTCCTTGTTGTTGAGGGAACGGTTGGCATCGTAATCATTGCATGTCATGGGCTTGACCTTCTTGAAGTAGTCGCTCTGGTGCAACTTGGACTCAGTGTTGTCTCGGCTCAGGTGGCAGCCACAGAACTCCAAAGGTGTGTCTCCCTCTTCCGTCCAGTGCTTGAAGTTAAAGGCTTCCTTCAGCTTGGACTTGAGGTACTCGTATTCAGAGGAGTCGGTTTTGCCACAGCCCAAAAGGTCGTCGACGTGGAGTCCCACCATGGAGATCAGATTCTTGTCGGAGTCGTGGTAGGTGAAGAGGCACTGATCCAGTGGGTGAGCTCGGTATCCAAGGCTTTCAAGTCGCCTTCTGGCCACAATGAACCATTGCCTTGGGGCGTCGGCTTGACCGTAAATGGGTTTGATCAGCCTCATCAATGTTCCGGCAGGAACACCGATGATGTTGCAGGCGTCTCGAGGAATGCGAGCCCAAAGAACACGTTCTTGAGGATCACCTTGGAGGAATGCCGTACTGACGTCGGCTGTCCAGCGTTTCCAGCCAGAAACTTGGCTGATAGCCAGCAACACTTGTCGAGAGGTCCTTGCCAAAGTCGGCGATGAAGTGTCCAGAGCGCCATTCAACAAGTCGGGGTCAGAGAACCCTTGCAGGACCAAACGGGCCTTGGCCTTGAGGCCGCCCTTGCCATCCGCTGCCCACTTCAAAACAAAGCGAGCTTTCATCACTCTGTTGTGGTCGACAGAAGCGGGGTCGGTCTCAATCTCCCAAACTCCATTTTCAAAGATGCTTGAGAGCTCTGCTTTCTTGCCCTCCAGGAAGGTCAGGCGGTCCTCCAGTGACATCCGGCGCTCATTGAGGTCGGCGCTCTCCTTGACATGTTTCTTGCGAGGAGCACCTATCCCAACTGCTTGCCAGATGTGGCCTCGGCCACGCAAAGTCTTGCATCTGCGAAGCTTGTTGGTGAGGTCGCCGATGTAGTGAAGACCATAGTGCTCTGCACCTGCCTGTGTGAGAGGGTACAGGGTTTTGCCAGTCCATCCATCTGCAAAGTACTGCTCCTCAGTGGAGTTGATATAGATGGTGCGAGTTCCCTGCTGCATAGACAGACCGGTGGTGGTCTGCAGAAAGTCAGCAGAGACCGGAAACTCTTCAGGATGGTAGGTGTTTGTTCTGCTCCAAACGTGGTTGCGGACCAAAAAGCCATCCTCGAAGCTCCACCAGTCCTGAGTGACTCCCAAGACAAACTCGTTGTTCTTCTTGTCATAGGTCCAGCCTTCTGGAAGAGTGGTCTTGGAGAAGTCCATGGAGTGGAGGCCAACTTCAACCTCTGGCTGGTCAGTGCGAGCTTTCTTTCTTGTCCAAATGGTTTCCTGCTGATCGAAGCGTCGTCGTCGATCTTGAAAGCTTTCAGGCACAGCAGGAGGGATGTAGGTGGCATCCACTGGCATTTGACTTTGTGATGAAGTCGGTGGTGCTTCAGGAGGTTGATCCAAATCGTGGTCCTCCGGGACTGCAGGAAGATCAGCAGGATCACGAGGTGCCTTGGGCGTTTGCATGTGTGCTGGTTCGCCCATTGGTTCTTCATCTTCATCTTCATTTTCTTCTGTTTCCAACTGTTGAGGTCCAACTTGTTCTTGTAGTGGTTCAGGTGGATCATCAGGAACTTCTGAAGGAAGGGGATCTTGATCATGTTGATCCTCGGTTGCTTCCTGTGCAGGAGGAAGTGAATCAGGTGGCTCTCGTTGCAGCTCTTCACGTCAAGGTCGTGAGGGTGCGGATCGAGCAGCGTGCTCCGAAGCGGGCTGTTGTTGTCCATCAGGTTGTCCGGGAGAAGCCATTGTAGATGGTTGAGCTTCGGTGTCCGTGGGAGTGTACTCCAGGTCACTTATCTCAGGGTCAACCTCA